TAACCCATGAACATACAACATAACACACATGTGTAAATCTCTGTGGTATTTGCCAGTAACCAAAGCCAAGAGTGGAAGCAAGAATGAACAGCACTGAAAAGAGAGTAGATCAGTTTTTCAAACTTGTATGTAAACCTCTCCCAAAGCTTCACCTGATGGCCATTCTCCAAGATTTTTTTAAAGAAATCTTCCTAAGCCTATCATCAAGTTGATAAGTTTAACCAATACTCTGGAGCTTAAAAAAAATAATAGAACAGAATAAGAAGCCTCCAAATTGGAAAAATATATACTTGGAACTTCTATTTATTTTAGAAATGCAAGAAAACAACACAAAAACTCTCTTCTTAAACAGTTAAAATTTAGCTAGGCTTCAGTGGCTCACGCCTATAACCCTAGCTACTCAAGAGGCTGAGATCTAAGGGTTGAGGTTCAAAGCCAACCCAGGCAAGAAAGGGCATGACTCTCTTATCTCCAATTAACTACCAAAAATAGCTGGAAGTGGAACTGAGGCTCAAGTGGTTAGAGCACTAAGCTTGAGCACAAAGGCTCAGGAACAGCACTCAAGCTCTGAGTTCAAGTCCCAGGACCAGGGTAAAAAAAAAAAAGCTAAAGTTAAAAGAAATGAAAAACATTAAATTAATATATGTTTGTCATTTTTCCCATGGTCATAAATTATCTTTAAAAACTTTTATTACTTGTCTCTTATATTTAAAATGTTCCAGGATTTTCATCCACTGAGTTGACAAATATATTGTCACCCATTAAGTAATTCTGTATCTGAAAATACTCTGAAGCATGAAAATGATTTTAAGTTTGAAATGTAGACATCAATCAATATGTAGCACCAACGTAGACATGAACATTCTCTGCTTTGCACTGTTCTTGGTGAATGGTGTAGCAATTGCCATGAACACACTAAAGAACTGGGGGTGGAGGGAGGATTGTTTTAAATTCTTGCATGCCCTTGACCTTGAAAGACAAATGATTGTTGCAGAATGAGGTCTTACTCTGTCCTCTCCATCAAGACAAGTGAAACCAACCCTCACCTCTCATCTCACTCTCTTCATTCTCCACTTTATGTTCTTTATACAATCACCAATACTAAAAAAAGAACCACATACAGCATACATCATTACATAGTTAGCCTCCCTCATTGACAGACTGATTGACCACAGTTCAGATGTAGTGTACCTAAGGATTTACATTTGATGCGATAGAGCACTTCCACACAGAAGTAAAGCTTATCAAGACAGCTATATGTTTGAGCTTCTACTTCTCCACTGGTGCCAATGGGGAAGCCTCAATTCTGCCCATAATAACTGGTCCAAATCCTTAGTACTAATAGTTTTCATAAGATCCTAAGAGGATATGTTAGAATCTACACACTGAAATAACACTAATAGAACAAGACAATGCTTGATCAGAAATGTACTCATTTCCTTGCTCATGTAATTGTAACCCCTTTGTCCGGTATTTTCACAATAAAAAAAAACTTATCACTAAAAAAAACAAAGAAAAAGCAATGGTAAAGAGGACACAAGGTTGCCCAATTTCAGTATCCAATTCCCCCTAATTCCAAATGACTTTGCCAACACATAGTCAGAAGACTACTACTAACACAGTAGTCAGAAGATATTACTTTGTGGCTGTGGCTTTTATGGGTAAGCATGCACAGAGTCATTTTGGAATCAGAAGCGGCCAGCTCTCCATCTATTCAATCACTTGTTTTTGGTATTTTTTTTTTTTTTTTGTCAGTCATGGGGCCTGAACTCTGGGCCTGGGCGCTGTCCCTCAGCTCTTCAGCTCAAGGCTAGCGCTCTACCACTTGAGCCACAGCGCCACTTCCAGCTTTTTCTGCTTATTTGGTGCTAAGGAAACCAACCCAGGGCCTCAGGCATGCAAAGCAAGCACTCTACCACTGAGCCACCTTCCCAGCCCCTCACTTGCTTTTTAAGATAATGACTAGGTCAAATACTTTCCTAGGGGCTGGGAAGGTGGCTCAGTGGTAGAGTGCTTGCTTTGCATGCCTGAGGGCCTGGGTTCGATTCCTCAGCACTACATAAGCAAAAAGAAAAAAGCCGGAAGTGGCGCTGCGGCTCAAGTGGTAGAGTGCTAGCCTTGAGCTGAAGAGCTGAGGGACAGCACCCAGGCCCAGAGTTCAGGCCCCAGGACCGGACCCCACCCCCCCAAAAAAAATACTTTCTTAAACAGAATATACACAAGCTTAATGACAGGAATATACAATGACAGGCACATACAACTAAATATTAAGGCCATTGTAAAACAGAATGTCCCAGAAATACCACAATTCAAAATGGTATTATAGGATCATGCCTATAATCCTAACTACTTGGGAGGCAGAAATCAGGAGGACTGTGATTTGAAAACATTCCCAGCAAATTAAAAAAAAAAAAAAAAAGGTCCATGAGATTCCATAATCAACAAATGACCTTTCACTTTTTCCTACCAGAATTCTCCCAGAATGCTTTGATCTTCCTTCATGCTTCTACCTTGCTTCCGGTGCTGAAGTTTGAAATAACTTCACTATGCAAGCTAGGGCCTGGATGTTTTCCCCAAAGCTCTTCATCCACAAAGGCTACATTTTAAATCCTGAGATATACTTTACTGATTTCTCCAGTTTGCTTTTCTCCCATCAATACACTGAATAAAATGTGAAAACTTTAAAACATTCATTGTTGTCTTTGTTACCTGGAGAGCCTGCTTGGAGCAACAGCTCCCTCACTCACTTTTTGCATGTGCTCTCCTGATTTGCACTCTGGTGTGATCAGTATTCTGTGTGGTGTGATCATGAAAGCGTATTTGAAACCCTTCTGGCTTGGAACTATGATTCTTCTGTACATTTTTATTAGCATCAATTAATTGTACAGGGGGGTTCACTTTGACAGTTCCAAATATGCATACCATGTCCACCAATAAGATTCCCTCCATCATCCCCCTTTCCCAACCCCATCTCAATAAGCTCCATTGTTCCATTTCTTATTTGAAACTCATTGAATAGACCACTGAATTACATGTACACTAATGTGATAGTGGCTGTTGATTACAATAGTTCATGTAAACAAAACAGAACACTTTGAGAAAACCAAGGGTAACTACAATCAACTGCCAAACCAATAGACATATAGTTTTGAGAAATTGCCAAAGTGGAAACTCTACTCAAAGCCAAGGAGTAGTTTAAGCACATCCAATGAAGCGCCATCTCACCCACTGGATGCAACAATACCAGAGGTTTTTGTTTGTTTGTTTTTTAATAAGGTACAGCATGTTTTGAACTAATTTCCTATCTATCTGTGACCCGAACATATGAGACCCATAAAGAGAAAGCCTTGAAAAGAATTCATGTCATCAATTCCTAGTCAATATGTTGATAGGCTATAATCATCAATTTTGTGTAAAGACTATGGCCAAGTCTCATTAGCTGCTGAGTCTTCCTTTTGAGTTTTTGTTGGCTTGCTGGAGTGTTTGGTAATTTTCAGTGAACTTAAGGGAAGAGTAACAGGCCTAACTTTTGGAATCAGATGAAAACCTTTTGCCCTTATCCCTGTAGGTCTTTCTGTGAAATTGTGCTTTCCAACATAAAATAAGGCCTCAAGTAAACATGCCTATTATTATTCTGAAAGTAATAACATGTGACGCCTAGGAATAAAAAGCACAAAACATGCATAGCTATTCCTCTACTTTCCACTCAACTCAATGTCTTTTAATGGACCAAAATGGTCCCATGGAAACAAGAGCTTTTTATAAAGGCACCAGAAAATACATTTTAAAATCTAAACAAGCCGCAGCCATATCTTTGTTTGGCAACCTAAGTATTCTCTTCACTCAGCCCTCTTCATAGCAACTCACAAAGGACGCCTCTGCAGCCAGGGATAAGAGCTGATCCCATAATCTGGCAGGAACACTTAGAAAGATTAATTACCCTATTAAAATCTTAGACATTACGGAGAAAATCTTGGTATAAACCTTTTAACTCACAACAAATGCAGCCTTTCTGATGCCTTCCAAAAAGGTCCTCACCCTCCTCTCCTTATTCACCACTGTTGCCGGTGTCTTCAGCAACAACCCAAGTATTTGTGCACAAAAGTCCACACACATTGGCACGCCCAACAGCATGCTGAAGCTGCTGCTCTACACCAAGTCACAGAGCCGGAGTGTGGTTGGAACAGATACGGTAAAAACTATTCTCATCTACAAAGTGGTTTCTGTGGAGATAAAGCAGAAGGATGATGGTGTCTTTCCAGAGGGAGACACTGGAGGATACCACTGGGGGATTTAAGTCATTAGACAAGCCCCATCTAGGAAAGGATGCAGAAGATTAACTTCTTGGTACTTAGATGCTAAGCCTCCCCTAGAAGACACTTGTAGTTGGACTCTAGGGGCACCTGGACAAGTTTTCGTTTCTGCACTCACTGTCCACCTCTCCTGGTTTTCTTTTTCAGGGCTGCTTCCTTCTCTGACTTCTTAACACATCTGCTTGCAGAACTTACTGGTTCCAAAACAGCAACATACAGTTGGGGTTTAGATCAGTAGAAGAGCACGTGCCTGATGTGTGCAAGGCCCTGGGTTCAATCACCACCAGCACCACCATGGGGGAAAAAAAACTGTGTGTATGTGTGTGTACACACATGCATGAGCACACATGCATGCATGCATGCATGCTAATCTTGGGCTTAAACTCAGTGTCTGGGTACTGTCCCTGACTGAGTATTTTTTTGCTCAAGGCCAGGGCTCTGCCACTTTGATCCACAGCTCCACTTCCAATTTTTAGGTGGTTAATTGGAGATGAGTCTCATGGAATTTCCTGCCTGGGCTGGCTTTGAACTGCAATCTACTTATCTCAGCCTCCTGAGTAGCTATGACTCCAGATGTAACACCCAGAAAGAAGGGGGGGAAAACCTTTTTAAGACCTAAACACAGCCAAAAGGAAGAGGAGAAAAAAAGATGAACTATGTTAGAATGTATTGATAGTCTAAACAAACAAAGAAAGATTTTAGTCACCTCTACTCCCCTTATCAATTGCAATATTGCACCCAGTAAGTCACCGCATCATTCCAATCAAATTTGATCATCAGGAAAATGCTAGAAGGCTGGTGGTAGCCCATTGGTGGGGAATGTGCCAGGCTCAACACAGGCTGACTGCAGGAGCCCAGGCTTGCGGAGATGACTGAGGGCACACTCAGCCTTATCTGGAAGTTGGACCAATAACAACCTGAGACATAGAAGGGAGTGGTGGGCCTGAGTGGAAAGAAGCAGAGGAAAAGGCTGGCCCAGAGTCACTACCTAACTTGTCAGTAGCTAACACAGTGCCCAGAACCCATGACCTCACAGTCGATAGCTATGCACAGGGCAATTTCAGAGTAAGAAGCAGGCTGCTGTCCTATCGCTTAGTTTTTAAGCTAGTGAGAAGATGAAATTCTGAGAACAGGAATAAGTGCCTCAGAACTGTCCAAAACTTAAGGAATAATGAATGCCCAGAGGGGCAGAGGGTATGATGGATAATCTTGATAGGAAGATGCCTAGGAGTCTAGTAGAGCACATCTCTGGGTGTATGAGGGTATTCCAGAGAGGGCTAGATCATAAGGGCTCTGAACAGTGAATGAGTTAATCCATCCAAGTTTAAATTTTAAATAGACCATTAAGAGATGATAGAAGTATAAAGGATTGGGCCAGGATAGAACAAGGGAGTCACTGCAGGCATGTCTTTGCAGGATATGTCTTGATCCCACCCTTTCCTGTTATAGCCCTGTCCTTTTTCCTGTCAGCCATGTGAGCTGCTCTGCCATATCTCCCACCCCTCATCCCACCAGATCCCATCACCACCATGCTTTGCTGTGAATCCATGAGCAAAAGAAATGATCCTAGGGACAATAAAACTGACACTAACTGGGGTACTGGTGGCTCAGGCCTGTAATCCTAGGTACTCAGGAGGCTGAAATCTGAGGATCGTGGTTCAAAGCCAGCCTGGGCAGGAAAGTATGTAAGACACTTATCTCCAATTAACCACCAGAAAACCAGAAGTGGTGCTGTGGCTCAAGTGGTAGAGCACTAGCCTTGAGTTGAAGAGCTGAGGGACAGCACCCAGGCCCAGGGTTCAGGCCCTACAAGTGACAAAAAAAAGAAAAAAAACACCAAGTATAAACTAGGGGGTATAGCTGAGTGGTTAGAGCACTTGCCTAACACATACCAGGCCTAAGTTCAATCTTTAGGCTCACAAAAAGTTAAAAAAAAAAGTTTATTGACCAAACTAACAGAGATCAAGCCAATGTACACTATTCTTCAAAAGACATCCACATCAGCACATTTTTGAAAAATATTTGTATAAATCCGCTCAAGTCCCACATCTTAATTCCAAACACTAAAATAAAGAGCAATATTGTCATCAAGTCAGACTAACCAAGAAGATCTGCTTCGTGTCAAAAATGTCTGATTAAAATATTAATAGGCAGTGCAAATAAAAGCCAGAGAGACTATTGACCTCTGGTTATTCCCCTGAATAGATTTGCTCTCAACTCACAGATGAGAACCCAGCCTGTTCTCGGGAAGTTCTCTATTATAACAGCCTCAAAGCTTATCAATTAGTGCTGTCAGCCATCTTCTGTTACCAGGGCAAAATTCCCATTCTCTACTTTCTTGAGACCACATGAGCCCTTTCCAGAAGCCAGAGGAGGCCAATAGCAGAGAGAAAAGACTGCAGATAGCCAGACCACCTCCTTAATGGATCTTCCTTGCCGCTCCCAAGACTTCCTTCTAAAGGAGTTACAGTAACAGGGCAGCTTCATTTGTTATGACTTGTGTGGGGGTGGGAGGAGGTGCGCAAGTGCGCATAGCAATTAAAGTAAAAGCCTGGCAAGAAAGTCCGATTTTAGCTTTTAGCTTTCTTTCTTAATAGCACATGTGCTTTATCAAAGAAATAAGAAGTCTCCAAGTTTGCTTTTATTCAGTCCACCAACCAATATAGGATGAGAGATGGTATTGGATCTTGTACTGAAGACAGTGGAGGAAAGGGAAGAGAATGAAACCTGTAACTCTTACATTTTTAATATGTGTGTATAAATATACACATATACCTATATATTATGAAGAACTATAATTTTTCTGGCAAGCACTTTGTTGAGAAACCTCAACCTGCAACTAGGAAATTCCTGCACACTTTCTCTGGTTAATTTTTATTAATGTATCCACTCATTCATTTGCTGCATTCTAACACATCTGTTCACTTATGAATTGATAAGTCATCGCAGTGTAGGATGAGAAGGAATGTTAGAGGGTATACAATATCACAAGTGGGAAATTGGTTTTATTTTATTTGCCAACCACAATCAGCTGGTAATGGCTACCTGGTCTACAGTGTTGAGCCAGACTATTAGCTACAGGGAAAATGTGCTGACATCTATTAGCCATGCTGCTTATACTTACTTCCATTCTAGACCAAATTCTAAACTTCCTTTTAAATAAAAGAAAAGAAATTTAAGACAAACGGATGAAAGAGTTTTCCAGGATTGTGCTACTGTACATGTTAAGACTTTCAGCTCTAAAACTAGGAGAATCTAGGGACTCTCCCACTACACTTAGGTATGCTCATGTCTTTGATTCTTTAGTTCTGGGAACTAAATGGTGACCAATGAACCTGTCTAATTTGATAAAAAAATGTCCCAAGTTTTAAGTACTCAAATCCTTCTATGAAGTTTTGATATAATAATAATGCCCTCAAAAACACTTCCCAAGTGCCAGGCATGACTCTAAATGTGACCATTATATAATAGCTCATTTAATCTCTCAACATTGCCATTTACAGATGAGAAATATAAACTTAAATTGACCAAGATGAAGCAACTCCTTTTCTAAGAGTGTTCAAATCAAGCTTGACTGCAGAATTGACCAGAGTCCTGCTCATAACTGTTCTACTCTCTCTAAGCATCATGGCAAGCATTTACTGATACAATGCACATAAAAGTTGCTAGAATCAATTCAAATATGATTCTTGACCTTGGAGGACACCTATGATCAGATCACTAACCGTTAAATAAACAACCTTCTTATTTCAAAGGTTATTTTAAGTGCCAATGAGATAACAAATTTTGAAAATGATAAGCAATACCTGATAAGGAGAGGGGCTAAATAACCACCAGTGGCCTGCATTGCTTACGACTCATCCCTAATCTCTTTAACTATTTGGGTTTCTATGGTTCTAAGACAGCAGAGAAGTCTGGAGCTGAGCAGAAGCATGTCCCTTCTTGCTAAGTCCGCATGAGCTCTGTGACAGTTGACTGTGTCCTCTTCCCTCATCAGCTGCTAGTCTCAGGAACAGATGTCATCTCTGCCTAGATAATGATCCTATTCGGGGCCTGCATAACCTGTGGGATCCAGAATCATTCACCAACGACTTCAACTTAGCTTACCACTCTCCTGTCACTTTAACCAGACACTAAGACAAGATGAGGGACAAGAGACAGTGGCAAGAGTGATAGGTTGAACCCATTAAAGACTCTCCATTAAAGGGTGAACTAATACAACAGTGATATGCACTGGACACCATGTTGGAAATGAACTCTACAACTTGGGGTGGGGGGGAGAGGGAAGGAGGGAGAAAATGGAGAAAATGAGGAAGAGGTGACTGTACTTATTACCTGACATGTAACTATAACCCCTTGATACATCATCTTTACAATAAAAATTAATTTAAAAAAAAGAGAGACTCTCCATTCCACCTGTATTCCCCCACACACACCCAGTGAAAACACAGGCGAACAAAACCTCGCCTCAAAACTGGAATTTATATGAGATGCAATGGCCCTGTGTAAGTCTTTTTGGTGACACTGACTTGTTTTTTCATTCTAACTCAAAAGGTGAGTCAGTCCATCCTGCTCCGAAACCAGAAACTCATTGCTACAACCTGATAATGAACTGATGTCCTGTGCTAATTATCTGAAGTATTTTGTCTCCCCTCATAACAACTTCAAGTTAAGTGCAATCCCTGGGATCATGTCACCCATGACACTGGGAACACTGGAACTCTGAGTGTATGTAGTTACCCAAGATCATGGAGCTAATGAAATGATAGAGCTGAGACTCGAACCATGGCATCTTAACAAGAGAACTTTGCCAGCAGGCAACACTGGATTCTAGTTCCCCTTTTCCAGTCCAAACTCTTACAGCTAGAATATGTCTATCTAATAAATATTTATTGATCCTACAGTACGTACCAGTCAGTGCCTGAGCACTGGGGAACACATGGAGAGCTCTATATGTGGAGTCGGTTTCCTATTTGGATATACAAAGACCTTTTCAAATAAAAGCATATATATAAATGTATGTATATATATTCAGTCAGTGAAAAAGGTCATCAAGGAAAATAAAGGAGCGTGAGGTGCTGTATAGATAGGGAAGGGAGCGGACCACATGGCTCCATCTGTGTCATCAGGTGGGATGTGTACTATTATCTCCAAGCAGCAGATAAGAGAGGAGTTGAAAAGCGAAAGAATTCCTCCAACATCCCACAGCTGGCAAGGAAGACAGTATAAACTTGAACCAAACCTCCTACTCTCTACTAATTTTTTTTAGCATGCCCTATTTAGTTCATCTAATAATACTTCAACCTGAAATTACACTTCCATAAATGTTCACTTTTAAGCACAGATAATCCCTATGTACTTATTTTTCCTTGTTGGTTCCAATAAAAATGAGATCACTTAATAGAAAACAGAGTTGAGAGGGGAAAAAAAGACATCTAAAGAAAGCCCTCTGTGAACTCTTGAATGAGAGGCTGAACTGTCCAAAATGAGGCCTTTCTCTCACCCTCACGTTTAAATACCCAGTTAATAGCTGAAAGTCAGGGTGAGATCCAGTGCCATAATCATAGATTTGGCTTTTACAATTAGAAAAACTTTGAATCCAACACTTCAATTACTAAGAGGAAGAAAAGAAGAAGAGTAGAGCCCCACGAGCACTACTTACAGTGCTGACATGATGGCCCAGCCCTCTCTTCTGTTT